CGTTAGTTGTTTCAAAACTGCACTGGAATTTTCCAGAGTGGTGCAAAGCACCCAATCATCAGCAGGTTGTGAGCTTGAATGCCTCAGCAGCTTGTTTAAAATGACGCTGTCCAGGCAGAAGTTAATTTGTATTGTACATCTGTATCCTAATGCCATTTTTCTTATCTTTGTTATCTTTGTTATACTCTGTGTTTTTTGTATAAAAAGTACATCATATTCAAATGGAAAAAATGACTTCTATATCCATTAGAGAATTTTGCTAATTTAAGTATTAGGAGTCAAACCAAATTAATTATCAGTCATTATCCAGAGAACGCGAGTTTGAATCCCGATGATGCCACAGCCATCTGTGGCCAGGAGAGCAAAACTGGACATGCTTTCAGGGACGGAGAGATGGCATACTCTCTCCCCTATCAATCACAGCGACACTAGCCAATCATGGGCGTCTGTGAGCTCATGCATGCGGATGTGAGCAGATAGCGCTTTCCTCCAAATGTGTTACCCCGCCCCCTGACACTGCATGAGCAGCAGTTTGAAAAGATGCGGTCGGCTGGCTTCATGTGCCTCGGAGGAAGCACATGATAGCCTCGCCCTCCCTGGTTGGTAGCTGTCATGTGATAGGGGAGAGCTATCACTAAAAATTATGGAGAAGAGCTGGGAAATCATGAGGGGCACAACATTTGGGAATTCAGGGCAGGTGCAGGTGAGGGGTTAGATAGAAAATACCAAAAAAATAAATATTTAAAATGATTGTATCAGACCTGCGTTTTAATATAGAAGTACAACAAAGGAAAAATACGCCAAAAGGGAAGTCTTCTTTTTTCCCTAATAAAAACAGCAAATGAGCCCCTGGAAGCCACGCCCCTCCCCCCAACTCGCACAATAATCGCTCGCCTTCACTAGAATGTAAGTGGCCCTTTTGCATTCGGTCATGGTAAATGGAGGATATTTTGAGTTTAATCATTTGAAATAAACTCTTGACTTATCTCTCTGACTTGGCTACCATTAGACAAATATATAGTTAACATCAGTTAAATAGGGATATTTACCACCAAAAATGTTGGCTGAAATGTCAAAAAAAAAAAAAGTTTTTATTTATTTTTAATGGGAAGTGTGCCTTCAGGGGAAAAAGTTTACATTACACATATACTGTATGGCCAAAAGTACTTGGACACCTGCGTATCTTATTCTAAAGCCATGGGCATTAATATTGAGTTCCCCCTTTGCTGCTTTAACAGCCTCCACTCTTCTGGGAAGGGTTTCTACTACATTTTGGTATAGTAGAGCACAATAGGTTGGGCACGTGCTGAATGAGGAGGCCTGGTGCCCAGCCATCATTCTGATTAATCTCAAAGGTGTTCAGTGGGGTTGAGGTCAGGGCTCTGTGCAGACCACTCGAGTTCTTCCACTCCAACTTTGACAAACCATGTCTTCATGGAGCTCGTTTTGTGCAAAGGGGCATCGTCATGCTAGAACAGGCATGGGGCCCTAAGTTCCAGTGAAGGGAAACTGCAATGCTGCAGCATATAAAGAGATTCTAAACAACTGTGTGCTTCCAATTTTGTGGCAACAGTTGGCGAAGAACCACATGTCGCTGTGATGGTCAGGTGTCCGCAAACTCTTGGTCATACCGTATATGCTGAAATAATGCGATATCAAGTCAGAATAACGACATAGCACTTCAACTTTGTTTTCACACCTTGCAGACTTAGGTCCAACAGAATATCAGCTAAGGCATAACCAAATAAGCACTGAAATGTAAACATCCTGTGTTTACTCATGGCTAAAATTACAAGTCTAGAATATCCTAGTGTTTTTGTAGCACTAATCTAACTCAATGGCTTTATCTGTTGGTTTATCTGTTGGCAGTTTACATGTGAGAAGGAGAATCTGATTCAGTGTGTAGCACAGGACCAGAACATCTCTGAGCGCGCCGTGACACTGTGTATTCTACGCAACCTGACCCACACAGCAGATGACACACTCACACTCTGTCCTAACCACAAAATACTGTGTCCTTTCCCTGAGGTCAGTGTGTGGAAGCTCATGACTCCAGTGTGTGTTCCAGTGTCTTGCATTCATATCCACATATCAAGTCTGGGTGTGTGTCAGTGTATCTGACTTGCCTGTTGTGTGTCTTGTCCAGTATTTCACCTACAGTGTGCTGCTGACTCTGCTGGCCTGCTCTGTCTTCCTGCACATCAGCAGTATAGGCAAGCTGGCGTTAATGCTGCTCATTCAGCTCAGCTTCCTGCTGCTGGTCGAGTGGCCTCTCGTGGTGCTGTTCGATAACGCCGACTTGCTGGTGTCCGCCAACGCACTGTGAGTTCGACTCATCACACAGCTCATAGCTTTGAGAAAAGAAACATTCTGACTAGGGATGCATCAATCAAAGCATTTCATGAGTACAAGCAGGAGGAAATGAGCACAATATCGGTCCGATAGCCCGAAACCACTGTTGGTATTGATATATCCCTAATTCAGACATTATGAGCTAATTAATAATTAAATTATAAATTAATTATAATTTATTTATTTAATTTATTATAATGCTTTGTTCATTATTATGCTACTATGAAGTACTTTTATTTGACCTTCTATATAATTCTAAACACTTTCCCTTCCTTTTGTAAGACCTTCATTTGACTTTCCGCTTTAGTTCTTAGCTGTGTGTGTGTGTGTACTTTGTGGGTCATGCAGGTCACTAATGAGAATGTTTCTATTTTTGTACACAGGTCTGGTTTCAATAAAACAGAGGCTTGGTAAGTTCATAACACAGACGTTGATTTTGTGCCCTTGTGAAATCTGGTTCAAAGTCTGAGTGAGTGGTGGACTGAGACCACGTCGCTCCAGATCTAGATCTAGATATTCTTTTTTTCCAATAAAAAAAAAGAGTGTAGACATAAACGTTTTTTTGAAGTTTAACTAAAAAAAATTAATACAGGGTGTTCAAAAACCTTTGACTGGCAGTGTCAACTTTTCATTACCTAATCCTTTTACAAGCTTTATAAACCAGAATCCAACCATATAAAACTCAGGTGATTACAAAGATACTGCACTATTGTTATTGAGCGAAAGGTTTGTATAATGGGTGTTATTTGCCTCTACCATGGATTTTAAATGGAAATTATGAGTAAAACACGAATCTGTTCTACAAGGCAAATCTGAAAATACCAAAAACTCAACAAACATTTTGAAGAAAAACATTTTTAACTCTTTTTAAATCGATTTCTTATTTAAAGACATCATATGACTGTATGACATACATGTTAGGAGAAGTGTGAGAAGACTTTAACTAATGTAATCCTTGATTGATTAGTTTCAAATCATATCATTTGCATGGATTACTGCACTTTTGTGTATGGATTAGGATATCTTATGCATTTAATGCAAGTTTTGTGAACCCCAGTTGTTTCATATTAATGGCATTAACTAAAGAAATATTAAATATTTTTTTAAAAAAAGAGCCAAGCCAACATTAATCCAGTACAGTATGTTTTTTTCCCTCCATTTTCATGTCAAACCATTTTATTGTCACCTCACTTACTTTACATCCACTTCACCTTTTCTGTCATTCGGCTCCAGATTTTGTCCTTGGGTTAATACACTATTAAATAATATATATTTTTGATTTGGCTTACACAAACATTTACACACACCTCTACAAAAAGCATTTGATAAATGCATTTGATAAATGAGGCTCATTGTCTGTGTCAAATTCATAAAGGGAGCGGTGCAAACTTTTGAACTGATATTGTTTTGATCATTACTTGACCATTTTTGTTGTTAATAATGAATGAACAACCCAGCACAGTAAATGTCTTAAATATCATCGTCTTTTATTGTATATTTGGGATTTTATCACAAACCCTGTCTGCATTTCTGTCCCTGCAGTTCTGGGACTTTGAGTAAGGTGCCGCTGAAGATGATGACTCCAGTAATCCTCACCGTATTTGTGCTGGCGCTGTATCTGCATGCACAGCAGGTCGAATCTACCGCACGCCTCGACTTCCTGTGGAAACTGCAGGTGCATCTCCCCATGCTCATGCCACTGAGAATTAGCCTTCCCTGTAAAGTATGAAAGTGCCAGTTGAACGGCTTACGTAACCGAGTTATGTGCCTTCATTTATATTTGTGTTTTGTGAGTCATTTTTGTCACAGAGCTGTAATTACAGAGTACATAATGACTGAAATGAAAGTAAAAGATGAGTAAGTTTTATAGTTACGTGAGAATAAGATAGTCTTTCCATGAAACCGACACATTTGTGAACGAAGCAAAATGAAGTCAGGAGATACTTTAAAGGAGAACTTGCCATATTTGGAAGGAGACATGCTAAGGGTGCTTTCATATATACAGTGTTTATTCTGTTATTCTGAATCGAACCCTTGTGTGTTTACCTTCTTGGTGTGGTTTGTTTAGGCAGGTGAGAACACAGCAATCCCACACGGGTGTGACTGTTCCAAGAGCATCTGAAAAAGGTGTCCTTGGTCCACTTCCAAGCAAACACTAGTGAGGTTCATTTGCAGTGAGAAACAGATTCAGCTCTGAATTGACCCGACTACAGGAAATGAAGCAAACATGCCATGTATTTTGTGTTTGCTTTGTAGATGCAAGCTGTGTATTGTACCACACTATTGCACTTTTAACTGTCTATAAATACCTCTAATACGCTACTGTACCATGGTCTCTACACGCATAGATTTTTATGCCTATTTGCCTATATTTCTATTGCTAAATTTGTTTACTTTTCTATACTACTGTTAGGTGCAAGCCAGATCTCATTGTACTTGTACAATGACAGTAAACATTTAATTCTGTTATAAACAGAGCCAAAGGACAGAGCTGTAGTGCTGCAGAAACGTGTTATGTTAAATTACGTTGCTGTTCTTCTTTCGCTGCTCCCGTTAGGGGTCGCCACAGTGGATCATTGGTCCACATATTTAATTTGGCACAGTTTTTACACCAGATGCCCTCCCCAATTTTAACTAGGCTTGAGACCCGCCCTGGTCGGGAATCGAACGCAGGCTGCTGCGGTGAGAGCGCCGAGGCCTAGCCACTAGTCCTCCAGGGACCCACATATTTTAAATGATGTAATACATTTATTTAGTGCCAGCTACACTTAACACAAGCTTTATTTACCTATTTTTCTTTTTATCTATTATTAAAAAAAAAAACGCTTGTCTTGTGTTTTCTTTCCATACTGTGCTAACCACCGCAGCTGGGTTTTTAGACTGATACTACTCTGACTTGGTATAAGTAGCATGAGAATGTGTTACTAAAGACTACAAAGCACATCTCTAAGACGCTTTGGATACGGGTGTCCGCTAAATGCCATAAAAAGTTGAAGCAATAACCGAGCACACAGTGTAGCAGAGTGCCCTAGCAGCACTGTCATCTCTTACTTATTTCTTTTGTCATCTGGCCCCAGGCTACGGAAGAGAAAGAAGATATGGAGGAGCTGCAAGCCTATAACCGTCGTCTCCTTCATAACATCCTGCCAAAAGACGTGGCTGCCCACTTCCTGGCCCGAGAGCGCCGCAACGATGAGCTTTACTACCAGTCATGTGAGTGTGTAGCTGTGATGTTCGCCTCCATCAGTAACTTCTCTGAGTTCTACACAGAGCTCGAGGCCAATAACGAGGGCGTGGAGTGCTTGAGACTGCTAAACGAGATCATCGCTGACTTTGATGAGGTAAGAAGGTGGAAGGAGGACACAGCGGTTAGGCCCATTAACTCTAACTGATGCAAAAAAAAAAAAAAAAAGACTAGGTTTGACATCATTTTATTAGTCTTACCCTTCTGGCTTTTAATGTTCACTCTAATCTCTGTATTTTAAATTATGTTCATGATTCTAATGATCTCAGTGATGGTTAAGTGATCTTGTAATGTCCTCAGATCATCAGTGAAGATCAGTTCAAGCAGCTGGAGAAGATCAAAACGATAGGAAGCACGTACATGGCAGCATCGGGCCTGAACGACTCCACATTCGACAGAGAGGGCCGCACACACATCTTGGCACTTGCTGACTATGCCATGAGGCTACGAGAGCAGATGAAGTACATCAACGAACACTCGTTCAACAACTTCCAAATGAAGATTGGTCAGTAAATTATCATCCTGATTACAGTTTGTAACTTCAGCATAGCATACTAAAGGCATTTTGCTATTTCTGTCATTATAATTTCCCATAATCTATGGCTTTGACTTTGACTTACAGCAGGAGAAAATAACGGTGAGTATATATGTGTGTTTTCTGCAGGGCTAAACATTGGGCCTGTGGTAGCTGGAGTGATCGGACCTAGAAAGCCGCAGTATGACATCTGGGGAAACACGGTCAATGTGGCAAGTCGCATGGACAGTACGGGAGTACCTGACCGCATCCAGGTGCCAGCTCTGTGATAACTGCTCTGTTCACACATAATGCACACCGACCACTTTAATAGGAACTCCTGTACACCTGCTCATTCATGCAGTTATCCATATATCATGTTGCAGCAGCGCAATGCATAAAATCATGCAGAAACAAGTCAAGAGCTTCAGTTAATGTTCATATGATCAAACATCAGAATGTCCAGATTACAGTTTGTAATTTGAGGAATCTGAGCCTAAGAGGGAACAGGCTCACTGAAACTGGACAATTCAAGATTGCAAACCAGGCAAAAGACCAGGCGATGTTTTTCCAATCATCACTTGTCCAACTGAACCTGTGCCCACTGTAGCCTCAGATTCCTGTTCTCGGCTGACTGGAGTGGATCCCGATGTGATTTTCTGCTGTTGTAGCCCATCCACCTGATGGCCCGATGTGTTGTGCATTCTGAGATGCTTTTCTGCTCATGGTGATTGTAAAGAGTGGTTATTTGAGTTACTGTAGTCTTCATTTCAGCTCAAACCAGTCTGCCCATTCTCCTTTGACCTCTCTCATCAAGAAGTTTCCACCCAAGAATTGCTGCTCCCCGGATGTTTTTTATTTTTCACGCCACTCTGTGTAATCTCTAGAGACTGTTGTGTAGGGAAATCCCAGGAGTTCAGCAGTTTCAGAAATGCTCAACACACCACCAACCATGACACAGCAAAGTCACTGAGATCACGTTTTTCCCCATTCTGATGTTCGATGTGAACATTAACCGAAGCTCTTGATCTGTATCTACATGGTTTTTATGCATTGTGCTGCTACCACATGATCGGCTAATCAGATAATTGCACGAAAGAACAAGTGTTCCCTTTAAAGTGGCCAGTCAGTGTATATATGCACCTACATACATTATTATCCATTGAATTTAAAAGATTAAAGAATTTTCTTAAATGGAAATGCCAGACCTGCCAAACTTCACACATTTTGCATCATTTTAATAGCCAACAAAATGGCAGATGACAAATGACAATGGTGTAGGTGTTTCACACGTTCCAATATTAACTGCTCCCTTGGAAGATCTCACATCTGACACTGTTTCATCAGTTAGTGGGGAATTCCCCTGTATTTATAAGCTGGTCTTGATTCACACCTGTGATGTCATGACACTGACATCTAATACACATCATTTGAACTGGTTTTCAACCATAAGTCCAGTCATTTAGCTTTATTACTAACAGACAATTCAAAATCTGGTTAACTGAAAACCTTCCCAAAAATATGCAAGCCATAAAAAAAAAAAGATAAATGCAGCTTGCACTGCCACCTGCTGTACTTTAAGTGCAATTGCAATGTGGCATCAATTCAGCAAAATTCAGATTATAATCCACACATGCCTAATATGTTTTATGCCTCTTTTGTTCTCTCAGGTGACGACTGATCTGTACCACGTGTTAGCCAGTAAAGGCTACCAGCTGGAGTGCCGCGGCCTCGTCAAAGTCAAGGGGAAAGGAGACATGACCACTTACTTTCTCAACAGTGGCCCTTCTAGCAGTTAACACTGACCACACGCCTCCAGTTGCACTGAAGTGAACAGAGATGAAACTCTATGGAACGTCAAGCGCACTTTTTTTTTTTTTTTTTTTGCCAGTTTGGAGTATAACCACTGAAGGGCTCGCAGCTGAGTCATGTAACGGAGGTGTTGAATACATGCACACACTGAGAATATGTTCTCATTCTTAGCTGCTCTCACAGACTGTCTGATCGAGTGAGCTGTCTAAGAGCCGTGGCCTTAGATGGAAATGAGAAGGATTGCATTTAAAATAGGTTTTTGACCAATTTTTAAAGAAACACTTTAATGACAAAAAAAAAATGCACAAATACACATATATGCAAGGATGAAGTAAGAATGCAGATGACCAAAGAACAAAAATGTTTGATATAGGAACACTACATATGTTTCATATGTCTGAACAATTGCCAGTTGACAGATTGACTGATTTTTTTTTTTTTTATGATTGTCAACACGACCACACGTTTTGTTCTCTGATGCAATTAAGACTCTTTCTTGCCATGTACAATGAAGGCTTCAGACACCAGAGAGGGATTTAAAATATCTTTTATTCATGGCTTATTGGTACATTTTTATAGTGTTTTTGGGGACTCTGGGAACCATGAAGTGAAGAAACTGTATGAAGGACAAAACATTGACATTGGGCATGGGAAATGTATTTTATTGTTTATGTTGTTGTAAGTTAAATGTGTGTGTGTGTGTGTGAGATAGAGTGAGTGAGTGTGAATCCATTGTCATCTTTAAAGGGCATAACTTGTCACTGTGAGATTTATATAATCTATGTGCAATTACTTTATTGCCAAATCGACTGCTCCCAGGCATGTCTGACTTTCATTATCAATATTTCTTTATCTGTTCATTCCTCGTAATTGAGTTAATTTCCTTAGTTTTATTCCAATTCCTTGTTTCATTCTAAAAGAAATAGCTAGCAGAGATGTTGCCACAGTGCTGTTTTTAATGCTTAACACACTCACCATATTTGGACCCTTCTGATACAAATGTTTCAGTCTACAGCAGGGGTGTCAAACTCATTTTAGGTAATTACACATAGTCCATCATCAAGTGACCCAGAAAAAACAAAACAAACAAAAAAAAAAACACCAGTTCAGTGACCAATAACACATAATTCAAATGTGTTCATTTATAGGTATTTATCTGTGAGGTACATTCTGAATGCACAAACGGATTGAGCATACAGTATATCACGTACAAAACAAATGAACACACCGCAGTTCATTAGCAAAAGAATTCATGGTTTTACCATTCAGTGTGTTGCATAAGTATTCACCCCCCTTCCCCATTTTGTAGTGTTACAACCTGGAGCTGAAATGGACCTAATTGAGATTATTTATCAAAATCCTTTGGTTGTTAATGAAGAGTTACATTTTCTTAGGACATTTTGTCAGAATTCCACAAGATGATTTTAACGTAGAACCCGAATTCTAAAAATGTTTGACGCCCCTGATCTACAATGTGTGATAGTATAAAGCCACCAGTGTGTAAATATGTTTGTCAAACATACACCCATTT